ATTACTGTTAATGTTAAAATTTTTTAATTTTGCTACAAAAAATCTAGAAAACTGACCAAACCTTATTATAACAAGAACAATTTAGTTTTAAGCCTAACCCACTAAATTTAATTTTAGATTTGTTTACCAATAATTTAATACTACACAACACAGTGAAAATGTATTTTTTTCGTTAGGTTCAGAATGAATTTGGGCAGAAATTATTGCAATACACAAATTTTCACTTGTCTCTATATGGCATATGAGCAGTTGCTATTTAAGCTAAGATCGCAAGTTTTGCCCTATTCGGCACGAGCCGAATATATATTATGTATAATAGATAATGCGTAGTATATATATATATATATATATATAGTATATATATATGTATAAATATATATAATATATAATATATATAGATTTAAAACCAGCAATGATTTTATTAAATAAAAAATTATAAATGATAAAAGAAAAAATAGAGCCTACAAGACTGGAGGAATGACACTAACCTCATCTTCACAACAATGTGATGCTGATAAGAAATGTCAGACCATAGTCAAAAACATATACCTCAGATCCCAACATATTGAGGTTCAGACTATAGTATGCGTGGAGCCCCAGACCAGCCAAAATGAGACCCAGTCACGTGGAGCAGTCACCCAAAGACTGCAACTTCATAACAAAAACATAAAGTGGGACCAAGTAAACCAAGTCCTAACCGATATAAGCTGTAAGATATACTTAGCAACACAGACCCCAACCTTATGCCTAGAACAGATTATCTCGGTGGCACTCGATGTATGGCACAAGCTTATTGCCTCTAAGAAAAAGGAGGAGTATTGATGTTAAAATAGAAAGAACAGGCGCTCACATTACAGGCGATCGGAAAAAGAATAACAGAGCGGCTAAAAGAGGTTCAATATATCGAGAAATGCCCAGGGAGATCTCTGGTCAGAGAAATAGCAACTTCGAACTTAAGCTAAAAGAATCCTTTAGAGAGTCAGGAATCGCGAAGAACTAAAAGCCATAATGAAATATCGAAAGGAAACGCCAAAGTATTGCTTCTCCTATGCAAATCAAAATCGAGAACAATCCCAGTATTGGGGCCCCTATACTTAAACAGATTGGGTCCTACACAGATGACAGCAGAGAATGAGTGAGCTACTCAAGTCCCAATATGAACTCAGTTTTTACAAGTCCGCTAACACAGACATAGAGTACGAAGAATCAAATGAATATTAAATGAGAGAGCCACAAATTATGATTAACACAAGCGTAGCCGATGTTAATCCCTGACAGCCAAATGACTATTCGACAGAGGCGATAAATGACATGGCCCATGCACATCTGCCCCGCAGGGCCAGACTCATGGGAACTCTGAGTTCATCAAGGAAAGAACTGCAAGAAGCCCTATCACGAGCCTTTTCACCTATGGAGATGGAGCATGGACACTGGGGTCGTCCTCTCCAAGTTTACTAAAAACAACAGACATAGCCACCACTACTCACAAAGGGGCAGTAAAGCAAAGAACAGCAAAGAACTACAGACCACTAGCACGGATCATACCATATCATAAAAATCTATGAAAGGGTCCAAAAAGGGGCAATATCACCACCCCATCAAGAAACCATCAGTTACACAAACCCAGGCAAAACATGGTTTAGAACAAGGTCCCGCTCCTGTCTGTCTCAACTACTGTAACACTAGAGTACGACAAGTGCATAAATGCACTAGTATGACCAAAAAAGAATGCAGATGTAATATATAAGCAGAGCGAGTTGCAAAAGCCTCGACAAGTGTGACCATGGCGTAATAGCGCACAAAATTCGTCGCTAAAGGAATAACAGGAAAAGTTGGCCGATTGGATCTAACTTTCCTCACTATACAGAACACAGAAGTAGTCGTCGAACAGAGTAAAGTCCGAGGCAGCTACGGTGAAAAGCTCTGTACCACAAGGCACAGTACTAGCTCCCATCTTGTTCCTCATCCTCATATCCGACATAGACAAGGATGTCAGCCACAAGCACCGTGTCTTCCTTTGCAGATGACACCCGAATCTGCATGACAGTGTCTTCCATTGCAGACACTGCAAGGCTCCAGCGGACATCAACCAAATCTTTCAGTGGGCTGCAGAAAACAATATGAAGTTCAACGATGAGAAATTTCAATTACTCAGATATGGTAAACATGAGGAAATTAAATCTTCATCAGAGTACAAAACAAATTCTGGCCACAAAATAGAGCGAAACACCAACGTCAAAGACCTGGGAGTGATTATGTCGGAGGATCTCACCTTCAAGGACCATAACATTGTATCAATCGCATCTGCTAGAAAAATGACAGGATGGATAATGAGAACCTTCAAAACTAGGGAGGCCAAAGCCCATGATGACACTCTTCAGGTCACTTGTTCTATCTAGGCTGGAATATTGCTGCACTCTAACAGCACCTTTCAAGGCAGGTGAAATTGCGACCTAGAAAATGTACAGAGAACTTTCACGGCGCGCATAACGGAGATAAA